GGGGCAAGGTGGTGACAGTCTGTTGATTCTCAGGGTCACTTGCGTCATCTCAGGACCGACTTTCGTCGCACGCGATCATCATCGCACAAGTATAGTGAACCAACAGCTTCATTACATAATCCTCTCCTCCTCTCCTCCTGCCCTCCTTACCTCCTCTCCTCCTCTTCCTCATCACCCGTCATGATTCATGACTCCCTCGCTCTTGTAATCCCTCCTCCCTCCCTCCCTCCCTCCCCTTCTCGTTTCCTTTCTCGTCTCGTCCTCGTCTTCAGAGTTTTGTAGCTCTTGCTCGCCGTCTCGCTCCCTGCTCTTCGCCTCTGAACCCTAGAGAAACTCTCAGCATCTCCCTCCACTTCCTGCCCTTCACTTCTCCTCCTCCTCTCTCCCTTCCTCTACTCAGCTCCTCCCATCCTCCTCTGCAGCTTCGCGCGCAGCTCGTCCTGAAAGTCGAATCCTCCTGCTCCCTCCTTGGGCTTAGGCTTCGTTCGTTCAGCCTCCCCTCCCTCGCTCCCTCCCGCCGGCTTCGAAGGTGACGGTGACGCTTTTTTTGCCGGTGAGTAGGAAGGAGGAGGAGGGGGAGGGGGTGGGGGAGGAGCCCCGCCAGCAGCAGGAGGTGGAGGAGCGCGTGGGGGTCCACCGACAGGAGGAGGAGGGGGGGGGTGGAGGAGGGGCCTCCGCCAACGGGGGAGAGGGGGGAGGGGGAGGGAGGGAGGAGCAGACGAGATGGCAGGAGGAGGTTGAGAACGTTGGGCGTGAGAGGCTGCGGGAGGGGCAGGGGGCGCGACCGCCGTTATCTTGGAAGGGGAGAGGCTCTGAGGTAGAGGACGAGGAGGAGGAGGAGAAGCTGATGCAAGAAAGTCAGCAGGGGCCCCTGGCAACTTCGTCTCCTCTTGACCTGCCGCGTGATCGCGCTGCTCCTTCTCTCCTCCGTCAGGCACGAAGTTCTTCTTCAGCCGCGCCTTCCCCAAAACATGAGGACAGCAGCACACAAGAGGAAGAAGCAGAGAGGAAGGAGGGAAGAATGGGAGAAGAGGAAAGATAGGAGGAGGGACAGAAGGAGGGGGAGGAGGGAGAGAGGAAGGAGGGGAAGGGGGAGGATCAGACGGGCGATTGAGGAGAGAGGAGGAGAACAGTCATGAATACCGCAAGTTCATCTTGGAGGCTCATTCCCGGAGCGACAACCTTCTTGATCTTCATCTTGGGTGCGGCTTCCTTCATCGCTTCCTCGTGCTTGTCAGCCTCTCCTCCTTCTTGCTGCTGCTTCTGAGCATCTTGTTCTTCCTTCCTCCGAGCCTGCTCCTGCTCCTCCCTCCTCTGAGCCTCCTCCTGTTGCCGACGGCGGGTTTCCTCTTCCTCCTTCCTCCTGGACTCCTCCCTCCTCCTTTCGTCTTCCTTCCTCGTCTCCTCCTCCTCTTCTCTTCTGCGAGCTTCTTCCTCGACCTTCGCGTTGTTCGTGTCCTCCTCCTCCCTCCTCTGTGCAGCCTCCTCCTCCTCTATCCTCTTGCGGGCTTCTTCCTCCCCGTCCTCTCTTCCCTCCTCCTGCATCATCAATCAGCACCACGAGACAGACGGGATCGGTCACGGCTACCTGTTCTTCCTGCTCCTCGTGCTCGTGCTCGTGCTCGTGCTCGTGCTCGTGCTCGTGCTCGTCGCTGTCGTGCGGATGCAGGGGGACTATGATACCCGGCGTCAACCTTCTCTCCTCCTCTCCTGCGGCAACTTCAGCATCCCCATGACTTCACGAGCGTCGTCGACCTGCGAGAACCGCGCGCAGCGTCTCGTTCAGTTTCGATTCAACAGCTGCAAGCAACATTAGGGGACGCGAGGAAACTGGTCCAGAGATTCACCAAGTTCTCCTGCTGCTGCTGCTGCTGCTCCTCCTCCTCCTCCTCCTCCTCCTCCCTCTCCTCCTACTTCTCCTGCTTCAGTGACAGAGCTCATCGTTCGAGCCTTCGGAGCAGATGGAGCTGGAGGCTTGCGAGGAGGAGGAGGCTTGTTGGGAGACGAGCCTTTCCCAGGTGGGAGGTTGACAGGAGGAGGAGGTTTCGGCTTCTTCCGTGACGCTCGACTCGCAGCGTCCCCAGGCAGGCCCTGCGTCCTTGCAGGAGGCGTCAGATTCTACCGGAGCCTCATGGCTGTACTGACTCTGAGCTAGAGGAAGGAGCAGGAGGAGGCTTCGGAAGCTTCCCAGCCCCTTCCAGCCCTCTCGGACGGTCTCCACTCCCGTAGGAAAGTGGCCTCGGCAGGAGGGGCTCAACGGCTGGATGAAGGAGGTTCAGCACTGCGAGAGAACGAGGGGTACGATGAGACCATTTGCCGCTGCCATGGTCGGCCTCCTACTTTGCCGTGTCCTCCTTGAGTCTATCAGACACAATCAGGCCCTTAGATCAGATAGCAACACCCG